TTTTTTTTTTTTTTTTTTTTCCTTTCTTTTGGTAGTGGAGTTCCCTGATATCAAACTGCAAGTCTGTGCTGCATACTTGCAGCAGGGGGAACATTTGGTCATGGCATGCCTCCTGCAGCATCTCAAGCTGCTTTTTGAGATGCTGCAACAGACACGTGCTCACTTGCATGGACATGGGTGCAGTGTTTAAATACTCCAGTTCTCCTCTGGTATTATCCAAATCTTATTACTAACAAAATACCCCGATACCAGTTTCACATGGATACTAAAACAAAAACACAGAATTCCCTTTTTAAAATCCTTCTGGAGTGTCCTACTGTGAACTCTTGTTCTGAATTCCTCCCCCTCACCTTTGTTGGAGATATTGCAGGAAACCTTGTACATTTGGACAAGCTGCACATGAGAACATCTCCCCTTCTACCCTATCAGTAAAAGAGAAGGCATTGACGAAAGGCTTTTTCAAATCATGCTTGGTCAGTACTTCTTGTGGACCATACAACTATGCATTAATCTAACATTGTGCCAAAGGAATTCTGTAGTTTGTGAACAGTATTTAATTTCAATGTCTACTGAAACAGTAAGGTGATTATCTGACGTTGCTTAACTTTTTTAAATGCCAGTTCACTTAGTAGTTATCAGCTAATCGGATTTACATACCTGGCTTCTGATATAAAAAGTACTTCTTCTGAGAAACCCTTTCAGCAGTAGCTGACTTTCAGAGACTGAGACTTCTGAGAAACTGTGTGTATTCTCATACTCTTTCTTCTATTTTCAGCAGAACATTATGCTGCAAAGGAGGAGAGATGGTGTGAAACCAGATATGCCTACTGCAGAAGAAAGAGAGAAGATCTTGAAGTCAATAGAGATGCCATACTGATTATGTACCTGCCCTGCTTTGTACTGACTTGCTGATCTTAATGTTGTGCTTGTGCTCTGTATATGTGGAGACAAAAAGCTAGGCATTTCTATTTTATTAAATTTAAAATAATTGTGAATATAACTTTACCCAAGATACTAGTTTAATCTCTCTGGGGTAAGATGAGTTTTTTTGCTTTGTCTGTATCAGAGGTGGGCAAAATGTGACCTGGGGCTGGATGTGGCCTGCGAGGCTGTTCTGTTGGGCCCGCAGGGCCCCTTTTTTTATTTTATTTATTTTTTTAAGTAGAAAATATTTCTCTGCCCTTGGTTCCTGTCATTTGACAGG